TATATATATATATATAAAGTTATATAAAGAGTTTTGAATGAGCATGTATGTTGCGGAAAATATGGGTGATGTTTATGATGATGTTGTCACTGCTGCTCTTGCCGTTGTTGCTGCTGACGGTGATCGCAGCGATGACGGCTCTGACCGAGCCAACTTTTGTTGTTGAGTCTCCTTCTTCTTCTGGAAAATTACAACCAAAGCAATGTTGATGTGTTGCCTTAACTGGTGAAGATGATGATGAAAGAAGCTTTTGGCAATAACGGTACGCCGCCATGTGCGGTGCTGATGTTGGCCATGATGACGACGGCAGCCACTATGAAGATGAAGCGAGTCTGATGACTCAATGACTGGGAAACTACTGACCGTTGACAAGGAAAAACACAAGGAAGTCAATGCGGAAACAGCCGATCACCAAGACCTGATGATCATCACGATCTTTCCAACCTCTATGGTCCAATATAGGTATGTTAGTGGGAGCTCTGAGGAACGATGCAAGGTGGCTGCGTCGACTACTCCCTCTCTTTAAGGGAATACCACCCTGAGCCCTAAGTCCCGATGCCCTCCACCCTAAACCTTGGAAGTAATGCAATCCCAAACAGACTTACAAAGTTACAAAATACTCCATGCTGAGTGTTGGGCTCTCTGGGTGCCCAACACTCTACCGTGCACAGCATAGCAACAAAAAATGGCTCACGGAGTAAATAAATCAGTAATACATATATAAATACATAAATATATATATATATATATATGTAAAAGTATGTGTGTATATATATATATATATAAATGTACGCATCAGAATATAAATGCATCCCTGCAAAAACACTGAGAACACCGACGCCGCTGACGAAATCTGGGCCGGGTGTCGCCAGTGTGAATGCCAATGCGAATCCTGGGCTCTTGTGCTAATTTGAACCTTTTGCGCTTGGGCATGGGTTTAGGGTTTAGGGTTTAGGGTTTTAGGGTTTAGGGTTTAGGGTTTAGGGTTTAGGTTGGGTTTCTTCGTAACTTCAAGGATAGACAAGGGTTTTGGGAGG